GGCTGTAAATCTTTACGGGAGCAGAAAGCCTCATCTTTCTCCCGCGGAACAGCTGGCAGTTTCGAACTGCTGACCTTGTGGTTTGCAGCCCAATTCGTAACCACGACACTACCAGAGCTCCTTTAAGTTGGCCCTCATGGGGATAAAAAAAAAAGTCACCCTGTTATAGCTTGCCATAGTCAAACTCCTCATTTTGGCTCTCATTGCCATCGTCAGCTTCCCTGTTTCCATTTCCCATCACTGGTACCCCACATACTATACTTTCTCTCAGGTCGCTCTAAACATTCTCTCTCTTGAGCACAATGTGCTCTCCTTCACCTTCAGGTTTTTTCACATGTGCTGTCACCACTTCCCAGAACACCCTTCCCTTCTCTTCTACTGGCTTGTTTTCCTGTCTCAGTTTAAAGGCTACTCCCTCTGGGATGTCTTTCACGACTACCTACCTCTCCCCACCCTTCCTCCAGACCTAACTGTGCTGAGCCCAGTGTTTCCTACCACAGCACTCACCAGACCCAATATTTGTTGGCTTGTTTATCCATAAGGTGGCACTGTTAAACTCTCTTTTTCTAGTGTCTGAACTCTCAAATCAGAGGCAGAGCAAGGAAAGAAAATTAGTATTAGGAATATTTTGCATACTGAAGAGTTTATGTGTATCACAGACATAGTTCATTAATACATGGTAGGAGAAGTGGAGGAATAGAAACGTGTAGGAGGTGGGGAAGGCTGGGAAAGGAGGGAATAACAAAGAACAAAGAAGAACTTGGGATGGGCATACAATGTGGTATTAGTGTGATAATAAGTTTGTTGTCTAAAAAGTCAATGTTCAATTACAACTCTGCCACTCTCCAGTTGGACAGCTTTAACTCTCTGCACTTCATTTCCCTCTTCTTTATGTTGGGCCAATAATATCCAGACAGTGAGTTGCTATGACTGGGAGTATTAACTTCTGGGAAGAGGGTCTATAGGTCTGTGTTTGACAGATGCAATTATTCCTTTCTTTTTCCTTGCTTAGCATTGTCCCAACCTGGGGGTCTTGGTTTTCCACTAGTCTCAGGCTTAGGGAAGATAAGGGACCTATGCTCAGAATGCACTCTTGACTTGAACATTACCCAGATTCTATTAGCATGCAGTACTGATTGACTGCATTTTCAAGGAAGGATCAATCTTGCAAATTTCCTGGGTACAGGGTCTAGAAGAGAGAGCTGGTCTTCATAAGCCAACATGGGGATGTCTCCAAAGGTTATTCTTCCACTTGGAACATCCTTAGTTCCCCTTCCTTTAGGCTCTCAGTCTGTAGTATCCCATCCTCTCACCTTGGATCTCCTAAACCTTGTCACATGAGGCACTTACTCAAAGGCACGTTCACCAGACAGCCGCACAGTATAATCAGCCACCGCTGAAGAAAGGAATGCACTAAAAATGATTTCAGAATGTCTTTCTGGGATGGCGATGAGCAGCTGCCCTAATTTTTCATGCTAACAAGTAGAAGTCTACCTGCCAGGATTACACAGACCATGCCAGGGCACTTTGAGGTTTCCACATTTGAAAAACGCTTACAGAACACGTGTAACCCCACCCCAGAGACTTGGCGGCTTTGCCTGTGGTACCTTTCCCCTCCTGCGTCCAAGTGCTGCTTTTCGAACTCCCAGTTTTTGTTAGGGGCATAATCCCATTCTACCTCTTCAGCAGCGATGTAAAAGGTTCTTATCATCCCATATGGCTGCTCAGAAGGATCCGTGTTGCCACAGCTGTTAACCTGGTAGATCTGATCCATGCCTCTTGCAAAGTGATGCAAGGTGGAACATAACACCCTGAAAATGCCTGAAAGAGAAACGGCCTGCCATTGTGCGCCACTTACAGCTTTTCGGGCTTGTATTGGCAAAGTTATATGTTTTACTACAAAATATGTAAATAACCAGTAAAGTGGATTAAAAAAATAATAATAACAACAATTTTATAGCGTTTTAAATAAGTGTTTAAAATAAGACCCCAAAGGGAACAAATTGCTTTGAATATTTTAAGTTCAGGAAAAATTACAATCTGAAATGCATTTGTATTGAAAAATAAATCTCAGAATATTGCTCATAATAAATGACTTTTCTGAAAAAAAGGGAGCATATTGTATGATCCCACTTACAGGAAATAGGCAAGGGCGTAAAGGGGCCTGGTGGCCCTGTAGAATAAGCACTGGATTGTAACCACAAGGTTAGCAGTTCAAACTCACCAGCAACTACTTGTAAGAAAGATAAGACTATCTGTTCCCATAAAGATTAACAGTCTCAAAAACCCTACAGGGGGCCATGGTGAGTTGGAATCAATCTGAAGAAAGTGGGCAGAGACCATAGGAGCACTGGCTAGGATGCTAACCAAATGGTGATGGAAGTTCAAACCCAGCAGCCACACTTCAGGAGAGAAATGGAGTAGTCTGCTTCCGTAAAGACTTACAACCTTGAAAACCCTATGGGACAGTTCTACTCTGTCCCATAGGGTTGCTGTGAATTCAAATTTACTCGACAGCAGTGGGTATAGAGACCAAAACTTATTAGTGTCTACCAAGGATGTGAAGGAGGGGGCTAAAGGGGAAGTTATTGCTTAGAAACTGAGTTTCTGTTAATTGCTGTGGAATAATTTGGGAAAAGACAATGGTGATAACACAACATGAGTGTAACAAAAGTCACTGAATTAGTCATGCAAAAATTGAATGGGAAAATGTTTTATGATATATACTTTCATCATTATATATTCATATATATGACTTCATACAGAGTCCTGGTGTGGTACTTTAGGACAGGCACTGGACTGCAAGATCAATTTGAACAGCAGGGTCAGTGGTTCAAATTCACTAACGGCTCCTTGGAAACCCTATATAGGGTCGCTATGAGTTGGTACTGACACTACAACTACAATTAACTACAACAACATTAAAAGAAAGTGACTCCTAAAAACCTGCTGATACACATGACTCTGTTAGCCTAGCCTAGTTTTAAAAGGAACTAATTACCTGTAAGATTAAGATTCTAGATAGAGTTCAAACTAGGCCACCAATTCTGAAGTCCTGTATTTTCCCTAAAGGAGCTCATAAACTATAAAATGCAATACACATATAAATCATTATTATTTTTAAAGCCAAATATTTTACTACATTAAGCTCCTGAACAAAAGATGTTCTCATTCCCAATGGTAGGTCTACTTTATGTCAGATGGAAAGAGAAATCAGCTAGCTCATAAATTTGTCAACGTATTACCAACACTCAAGTATGACTAAGGCCTGGAGACCAATTTAAGGAAAACCAAGCCATTGAAAATCCTACGGAGCACAATTCTGAAACATGGGTTGGAGTTGACGTGACAACCACTGGTTATCCTACTAGACCTTATTCTCAGAAGTAAGGGACCTCCCATTAGCCACCCACAAAGCACAGCAGTAGCTTCTGTCTTAACTTCATTGGTGACTGTGCGGTCTAAACTTTGCCAAGTTACCCCATCAGGATGAACAAGAACTGTTGGTACAGCAGATGCCCAAGCACTTCCAGGTACTGACAGGAAGCCTTAAAAGGAAGGGCCTCTGAAACCAGACAAGACACTACTAAAGACAGACTTGGAAAGAGCTCCCTCTGCAAATGCTTCCCCCACCCCCCCAGAGTCCATTATGTATGCATTCATCATGGTTCTTCAATAAGTGAGGAATGCTTTCTCTGAGAACAAGAGAGAAATGTTTGAGTTGCAGCCTACAATCTACTCTCGCCACTTCTCGAACATTCTTCATGGCTTACAGATTGTTGTTGTTTGTTGTAAAGGGCCATTGAGTTGGTTCCGACCCATAGCGACCCTGTGTAGGGTTTCCAAGGAGCAGCCGGTGAGCTTGAACCACCAATCTTGCAGTTCAAACTTTTCAGTCTGGCACATTAACCCACAGTGCCACACCAGGACACTACTGGCTTACAGATAAGGGGCAAAAATTGGTTAAAATGACTTACTACTAAATGTCAACCATAAAACATTATTGTGAAACTCTTTAGAGTTCATGAGTAATGCTCAAGGCACTGAAATAAGTGGCCAAATTTCAAATTATTTCAGTAAGTAGTGCCCGTTTCTATGGCTTATAACTATCTGGTTGTTTTCCACTTTCTTTTCCTCTTTGGACTTGAGAAATTATTATTATTTTTTTTAATAACATTTTGCTTAGGGCATCATTTGTTAGTGGTGATGCATAATTGATCAATTACATTAATGTAAGAGGTTTAATACTAAAACTGTTTTCAAGGCAACAATTATAGAGCTCCTATTCTCAACCAGTTCTTAGGCAAAGACTTTGAAGTTCAAGTCTCAAGTTTTTCATTGATGAAATTGAAAATCATGTAAACTGCAATTCCTCTCTGAAGTCGTGACGTAGAACATCTATTAGTAAAAGAAAAAACTGAAACATTCTCTTTGGTAGCAGATTCGTTTCTTGTTAAAACAGACAAAGAAGTTGGGTTGGGAAAACCTGTTATAATTCCATGGTTCTTGCTTTCCCCATCCTTCATGTAGTACTTGGCATTTTCTGCCATCTGGTGCTCTATCTTTTATTCAAAATGCTCATTGTCTCTAAGAGAAGAAACCAGATGGTACTTTGATTCTATAAACTCCAGTTGCTATGCAACTTGCCCTCTGGGGAAACCAAGGGTGCCCAGGAGTATGAAAACAGAGAACTGTGAAGTCCCCAATTGGCTCCTCCAGAGTCCACTAGCCATCTCTAGAGAAAGGAAACCAGATCACATGCATAATCTGGAAGTACCCACGAGGCTGTCAATGCTTGGTAAAGCATTCAGAATAGCAATGAGAATGATATTTGAGCTTAAAGAGCATAATGAACAACCTCCTTCTTGGAGTTGAATTGTTCACCAATGTGAGTACAATGTTTTAGGATCTGTGTGACAAGGCATCTAGCAGGCTCCCGCTTCTGCTTTTTGGATGTTATTGTAGACATTTCTCTCAGTTCTTTATACTATATATTTTGAGTAAAATAGTCAGAATTCTCTGATTCTAATCAAGATGACAACTTTTTTCACACAAAGTTTATAAGAGGTTAGCTCTTGAGTTGTTGCAGACCGTGAAGGCCTGGTCAGAGGTTCGAGGCCCTATAGGGCCGAGTGTAAGAGATCTAGCCACCTGGCAGTTAATAACAAATTATTTTTAATCTTAATATCCAGTTATGTTTTATTAAATGCAGACATGAAGCCCTTGATATACACAGATAAATGTAATATTTTCCTAAAAGCCAACACTGTAAAATTCCAAACAGGCAAAGTTCTTCCCTCAGAGAATTCATTCAAGATAAATTGGGTGGCTCCCCAAGGACAATAGGAATGTTCCAAGGACAATAGGAATGCCCTCCCTAAAGTGTTTCCAGGTGCTGCCTATTCACCCAGGTGCCTCTTTTCCTGAAGAACCTGGGCTGGGCAGCCGACACAATAGGAATCCTCCCTTTCCTCCCTCCATTTGAGGCTAGGTGCTAAAAGGTATGTTAATTAAGCTTGAGATTCGAACCTGCAAAGTATGATGTAAAGTTGCCTGAATGTCTGGAAAAATAAGATTGACAGCTATATCTTGTCTTAGTCCCCTTCTAGCTTTGTGTAAAGTACCTCCCCTAAATAAAAGGAAGGCGCAGAACGAATCCAGGTGCATTACGACTGGCAAGGCGTGTGTTACAGCATGCAAGGGGCACAGTCCAGCCTTGCAACCATACTGCCTGTTTAGCTAAGATGTTTACTATGCAGGATATTATGGCCTTCGTGGCTGAGATGTTTGCAATGCAGGATCTCCTGATGCCAGTCCAGCATTCACTCTGGTTTCAGAGTGTCTCTTTGTCTCTCTCTTTGCGTCTCTGTGTCTCTTTTGCTATCTCTATCGCCGCTGGATCTCCCCTCCTTGTGAACCAAACACTCGTGAACAACACAACTATGTCGAGGTCAGACCCCGACATTGAGTGAATTTTTTTTGCTTTATGATAACTTTTACTTCCCTATCCTAATTAAATTCTTTGACAAATGATTACAGTTCTCTGACAAATGATTGCTTAGATAATGAAGACCCTCTGTATCTCTGCCAAAATCAGACCAACATTTTTCTGGGGAAGAACTTTCAGGATGTGTCTCAAGACAGGAATTGGTCACCTGAGCAGGACCCACCAAATTTACCTGCATTGTCTGGCTGCATAAATGCCGTTGTAGAGAGGTGGGGGAACAGGGCCAGGGTGTCCCGATGAGTCCCCCGCATGTGGATGGTGTTCCCTTGGAAGTAAACTCCATGCATGTCGGTGTCAGTACCCATTCCAATCATATGCCAAGAGACTCGATCCTTTTTGCACATGGTTAGGCCTGGTTGATTGCCATACATATATCCATTGATAGCTAAGTGAAAGGAGAAACACAGTCAGAGCCCACTCTAATTAAGCACACATACTAAAAACATACCATCTTGGTGAAAGATAGAGGTGCATATGGGTAGGGTGAAAGATAGAGGTGCATATGGGTAGGGTGAAAGATAGAGGTGCATATGGGTAGGGTGAAAGATAGAGGTGCATATGGGTAGGGTGCAAATATGTAAACTATTTACCCACGATTCTTATTATCAGAGAGTAAATGGCAGAAAGAAAAAGTGACTCAGGAAGTTCACTTAAAATGGAGACCAACATTAATCACAGATAATGGAAAGATACTCAAATTAGAAAAATGTCCTATTTAACAGTACCAAATCTAAGAATCAATTAGGAACAAATCAGGTTGGCTTTTGGTATAATTTTCCTAGAAAAAATGTTTGTTGGCACAGTGTGATATTTTTCATTTCACATTTGACTTTTACAGCACCATGATAACTAAAAAATAAAATAGAAATGATCAAACATCAGTTTATTGAGTTCATGGATCCTATGTCATTTGAAGGGAGTCCTGGTGTGGTGCTGTGGGTTAGTGCACTAGACTGTAAAGTCGGTTTGAACTACAAGGTTGGTGGTTCAAGCTCACCAGTCGCTCCTTGGAAATCCTCTACAGAGTTGCTATGGGTCAGAACCGACTCAGTGGCACTTAACAACCGCATGTCATTTGAAAGATTTGCTGCTGATTGGTATTATATTTCCATGTCTGGGTAGATGTTGGTGAGAGGTGAGATTGGTGGATATAGACCCTAGTGTTAAGTGGACAAAGAGTTTGTGAGGATGGAGGCAGTAGAGGGGAAATACAAAGTTTGTAAGAGGTTAGTTCTTGGTTGAATATTTTTGCCTTGTCATTACTTTTGCTTCCTTATCCCAATTAAATAACAGACAAGATGTTTGACAAATTATTAGGTAGATAATGAAGACTGTCTGCATTTCTAGAAAACCAAAGCACTCCCATCTTTGACATCAACTCCAATCCATTGATCATGCCTACCTTGAGAAGAATTTAGAACCATAATCAGACTGTGTGGGGACAAATCATGATTGCATAGCAACATCTGAGGATTGTACACAATTATGTCTCATGTTTGATGTCTCTTACTTCCTATGGCCCACAAATTCCCATAGTAGAAAAGAATAACATGATATTCTTTAATAATTTATTTGACAATAATCCTATTGTCAAATAAAATTACTTTTATTTCTGTGCATGTAAAACCTGTAGTCTTTAGTAATTTTAGTAAATACCTGGAACACTTAGTAGAGATCTCAAGATGCCATAGGACTTCTGAGAAGAATATCGTATCTTCTGGGGGAAATCTCCATAAAATACTAAAGAGGCATCCATGTAAATGGGGATACTAGTAAACTTAGCCCTTGTCTAGTTGGTAGAATATATTCTCTTGCCTTAGAACTCTTGTTTAAAGCTTCTATTTCTGGGTTTTTCATTAATTTACTCATTCATGCAACACTTTTTGAATATTAACTACATAATAGATGTAATTTAAGTCACCATGTACTGTACTTGGTTTTGTGATGTGCCGTGGTGTCGGTTCCAAATCATAGAGACCCTGTATAGGGTTTCCGAGGCTGTAAATGTTTATAGGAGCAGAAAGCCTCATCTTTCTCCCATGGAACAGCTGGTAGTTTCAAACTGCTGACCCTGAGGTTAGCAGCCTGATTTGTAAGCACTACACTACCAGAGTTCCTTATGTGCTGTACTAGGGACTTTCTTTTTGGTGTCGTTGCCTTGCTCCTCCAATTTCATGCAACCAAAACTTAAAATAAACCTTAATTTGAATGAACATAAACTTTGAATTAGGATCCATTACTTTCCTTGAATTTTGCTTTAAATATATTGTTCACTTCCAGAATACAAAGATGAGTCTCATATTGCCAAGTTAGAATAAGACTGGATTTTATAATGTCCATTAGGTTGAGCCCTGGTGTGGCACTGTAGAATAAGCACTGGACTGCTAACCAAAGGTCTGCAGTTCAAGCCCACCAGCCACTCTCAGAAACCATGTACTGGACAGAAACCATGGAACCAACTGGACGGCACACAACATCAGATTGTTTGATTATTATTATTATTTTTTTTTTCCGGATCTCTCTGATTATAAATTTCTTTACAATTTAGCTTCTCTACTTAGGAATTGGAGTCTGGTATGGTGCTGTAGGATAATGCACTGGACCACATTACATAACAATAACATAGGAATTGCATGTCTCTTCATTTCTAGCTTGTTGTTGCTGTTGTTAAGTGCCATTGAGACTCTTCTGACTTATAATGACCCTATTTGGATTTCTGAGGAGAAGAAGATGGGTTTGAATCACTGATCTTCCTGTTCAAACCAGCCTTACGGTTCAGTGCTTACCGTACAGCACCACAGCAGGACTCCATGTCTCTTCATTTCTATCTCAGCTTCCTTCACTGGACTATAAGCTCAGTTTGAACCATGAGGTCAGTGGTTTAAACTCACCAACCACTCCTCAGAAACTTTATACAGGATTGCTATGAGTCAGGACTGACTCCATGGCAATTAACAAAAACAACACGAATCAACACTCATGGAAGCAACAGCCAAGAAAACAAATGACGCATTGCATTAGTCAAATCTACTGCACAAGACCGTTTCAAAGTGTTCAAGAGCAAAGATACCAGTTTGAGGGATAATGTGTGCCTGATCCAAGTCATGGTATTTTCAATAGTTCTCAAAGTGACATCTTGGTTCTTTAACGTTTTAAAGAGGTCTTTTGCAGTAGATTTGCCTAATACAATACAGTTTCTTGTACTACGGTGGTTTGTGTGTTGCTGTGATGCTGGAAGCTATGTCACTGGTGTTCAACAGAGTCATCCATGGTAGACAGGTTTCAGTGGAGTTTCCAGAATTCTTACTTACCACCAATTACAAGGTGGTTTGCTGTTGTAACAACTGATATAAGACAGAGGGAAAGAATTCAGTAATATGTTCCAGAAGAAGATCTGGGATAGGAATGAGTAATATTTTACAAATGAAACTTCAGGCAACCAAGCCATACTACTTGATAAGAGATGATTTGCTATATAATTATTATCTTCAATTATCATCAACATTATCAGATTTAATGATGTTATTGTGTCCAACATTTTCTATGTTTGTGATGTAATTTTTTTTTTAGTTTTATTTTGTAGTTAGGATGAAAGTTTATAACACAAATTAATTTTCTATTCAACAATTTGTACACTTTTTCCCCCATGATATTAGTTTCAGTCATCTCAATGTAACAACACTCTTTGCACTTCCACCTAGAGTTCCCTGCTTCCATATTAGTTCTTTCCTGTACCTTCTGAGCTTCACTTTTGGGCAAATGCTGACCTTTTGGTCTTGTATGGTTAATTGTACTGAGGAGAACATTCCTTTCTGGTGTTATTATTTACTTTATAGGCCTGGCTATGAAGATTAAGGACCATAGTCTTTGGTATGGATT